AGGGGGGAGGGGGCGGGGGGGCGCGGAAAGACGTGCGCGCGCACGCGAGAGAGAGAGAGAGAGACTGAGACAAAGAGAGCGAGAGCGAGAGCGGGGGCGGAAAGACGCGCGCACGTGCACGCGCGCACAAGAGAGAGAGGGGGGTCCTCCCTTAGAAACGCTTACAGATTGAAAACCGTAAATGAGGTGACAAATAGAAACAGACATTGGGCCATGCTACATCGACAGATAATCCTATTAGTGCGATATTCGTCCCAATTGATAAAACCACATATTGGTGGCAGCACACAGCTACCTTCTGCATGGCCGTCACTATCCGATATCAATCAAACACCAGTACAACACTCTCTCTCTCTCTCTCTCTCTCTCTCTCTCTCTCTCTCTCTCTCTCTCTCTCTCTCTCTCCCTCCCCCCCCCCCCCCCCCCCTCTCTCCCCCCCCCCCCCCCCCCCCTCCCCACGCGCGTGGTCCCCCGGCCCCTAGTTTCGTTGCGATGATGATAATTTGTCGTAATTGGTATCTGTTTGCTGTCACAAAACGATAAGAATGAACATGACCGACAATAAGGTGTATGTTCATCCGTCCCACTCTAGACTCCTTCTCATGACCCGCAGGGTTGGTCTGCCTGCCACGTCAGAATGACGTTGAATTCCTGCATGCATGGTCGACGAACCCGGGGTGGGGAAATATAGCATGACGTACGAAAACAGATGAGCGATATCCTAGATGGCGAACTTGAAATCGCGGCCGCACACCTGCATGCATGGTCGAGGACATACTCACACTAGGTAGGACTTGAGTGGATGTATTTGACCGCAATTCCACCATGATCTGGATGTATCTGACCCGCATTTACGTCCAGAGCATAGTTCGAAGCGTCCTAGTTCGAGTAGGCTTTCAGTCTGTACAATCGCAAACCCAATCGCAATCCCAATGTCAATTCGTTTCTCAATCCCAATGTCAATCGCAATCCCAATCCCGATCTCCGCAAAGATGACGTAAAATCTCCTCCAAACGAATTTCAACTGCTCGTCCTCATTTGGACAACGGATTTTTCCCGGACGAATCTGACCGGGATTCCGCCATGATCTGAGTGTATCTGTCCGCGACTACGTCCAAAGCGCAGTTCTAAAAAAAGTCCCTACTAGTGTGAGTAGTTCTCTGAGACTAATCAACCCCAATCCCGATCTCAACAAGAACACTTAATTTAAACATCTACTCCCTTAGCGGTTGAAGAGGGTGTGGTTTTCAACCGCACTTGGCGGTTGTCCAACATCGAGAGATTAACGCTCAGAGACGTGTTAGCCGACACTTGAGTGTCGAATGCGACCTTCGAGATTAATGAGGACCGCATGAGTATGGGTACTACATAGTACGCCATCACCTATGTTACCGCTCGTTCATTGAACGTGGGTTTTTCGTTCAGAAATTGAACGGAATGAACGCGCGTTCAGTGAACGCGACCGAACGCAGAGTTCAATTCCGCGCAGGAATAAAAAAAAAAAAAAAAAAAAAGTTCTTAAAAATTTAAAAAAAAAAAAAAGAAAGAAAAAAAAAAAAAAAAAAAAAAAAAAAAAAAAAAAAAAAAAAAAAAAAAAAATTAAAGGAGCCCTCAAAGTTCCCCCCAAAAAATGGGAGCCGCGCAGGAAAAAAAAAAAAAAAAAAAAAAAGTTCTTTAAAAATTTCGAAAAAAACATATGTTATGAAGAAAAATAAAATAAACAACTTTTGCCTGAAAATCACATCCAAATTCGCTATCCAATTTGAAATAAAAATAGAGAACAGAAAATAGAAAAAAGTAAAAAAAGAATTGAAATTAGTGGGCGAACATGATTTGACACCGCCATCTTTGGCGATTTTTCATTTTTTTTCCCCTTGTTAAAACGAATCCAAAATTTACAAACATGTATCCCACATCATATAGAACTCACAAAAAACACATCAGAAAAAAAAATAGAAAATTTAGGCATCGAAAATATTAAAAAAAAAAAAAAAAATTATAAAAAAAATTAAACGCCGTTCAATTTTTGAATGCGAACGCGCAATCCGCGTTCAAACGCACATTTGAACGCGAATGCGCGTTCACGGCATTCAAACGGTTACATAGGCCATCACTGCGATCGTTTGCGCACGCTTGCATTGCAAATCGATATGAGTTAGCCCTGCGTCTGCGCGGTTTTATACTGAGTCTCGTGCGCGACGCCTATCTGATTTTCGCATCGGAGAGTTATGGGATGGCTACAAAGAGACTAGGAGTGTTGTCGCGTTGTTGTTTAGTGTCGTTCTATATATATATAGATGTACGTGCGTGGGTGTGGGTGTTTTTATTTTTATGTTCTTTATAGTGGTGTGCGCGTGGTGAGTGGGATGTGTTCTAGTCAACCGACGTCGAGTCGCGCCTGGGACTTCAGCCCCCCAAGATGTCGGTTCGCGCGCGAGTTTGATAGAGGCGTAATACCGTGCGTACCCCCTATGCTACAGCGAACGAGAAACACCCTTGGCTGGTCCACCTCTGCGATTGCAGCTGATCAACTTTCGTACTGCGGACTGGTAGCTCGGCGGGGATACGCCCACCGAAGGGAGGTGACAACTCCCGTAAGGTGGAGGTAAGTCGTGCCTCGCGTAGGCCCTATCCTGTCGTAGGGGCTCGCGGGAGGTATGGCTGGCGCACTCAGTCGGAGCGGCTTGCGATAGCTCCATGTATATTCGCTACGAAGGAACAAACCAACTCCTGCGTGACGCGGCCGAGAGGGTCTCGCACTGCCTTGTGCGGTGCCGGACCGATGCGCTTGACATCGAAAATTCGGGTTCGCGTGGAATGTGACGTAGCTCTCAAGCCCCGAAATGGGGATAGTGCTCTGCCCTAGGGCCGATCTGGTCATGAAGGGAGGGGTGCCTGGGATGGTCAAGCGGTCAAACTCTTGACCGTGCGGGACG